ATTTTGACCGTTTTGTGATTTTTATCCTTAATAAAACAAACTGCATACAATTTATTTAAAAATAAATTATGTCATAACTTTTAATTTGTCCCACAAAAATTATTTTTTGCAGAATTTTTAATTCACTTTTTAACTCAGAACCATTTTTAAGTATAAAATTTTTAAAGAACCAGTAACGGTCAAAATGATCGCTTTGGGCGTTCTAGGTCATGAAAATTTTCGAGCGTTCTAGTGTTAAATAGTCTTTCGTTCAAAAGTAAAATAGTAAAGAAATAAAGTAGAAAAGGAGTAAAGCAGGAAATAAGAGAGCAAAGAATTTTGAAATGCTCTCTAACTTTTTTCTAATATAAAAACTAGTAACAGTTAATAATGATACTATTTATTATATAGGTTTACTAAGTAATTGTAATTGAATAGGTTTTTTGCCGATTTAGAGTGAATTTTTTAGTCATACATTTAAATAGACTGTCTACGAGTTATTAAATGTCTGTCTTCGTTGATCTAGATATAAAATTTCTTACAAAAATTAGTTTTTCTTTTTCTTTTAGCTGGTTTATTATGAAAGATACATATTTAACGTACATCAATCCGTCAACATATGAAATACGTTTTCCAATGTTAGTTGATCGTGCATTTGAATTTGAAACAGGTCTTAAACATACAGGTACACAACACGGTATTAAAGTAACAAATTTACAACGATCACTTGTCGTCAAATGTAAAAAAAAACATGAAAAAGAAGCTTGGCAAGCATCAATTCTGGTGATAACCACCAATCTGTAATAAATATTTCTTCTTTGGCATTTGATACCGGGTGGTCCAGGGAAAATGGTGGTGTCAGTATTTTGACTATAACTTTTTTTCTTTTCAATCTTTAGACATAATTGTCTTTCCAAAAGATGCGCCGTGAAGTTCTCTACATTACTTGATCAAATTGATTTCCAGAGAAAGTTAAAAAGAAAAATTAAACGAAGCATACTCAACGTAATAAAATGGACTAACTTTCTAAGCCGCAAAAGCGTTTTGTCCAACTACTTTCATGGTCATGCGTGATATAAACCCCTGTCCACATTAGAAATCCAGTGAGTCCTAGGGGACAGGGGCACTTTTCAAAAAATTTCTTGCCAGACTGGGCTTCTAATGTGAGGGGGGGTTTAAAAGAAGATAACATAAGCATTTTGTAGCCCTTGAAAAGCTCTATCAACCAGTATTAGGTGAACAAATGCTAAATCAGTCTTTCAGACTTTTCATCGATTTTCTTTCGAGACTTTCGAAAATTCTGCTGTTTGAGTCTGTTCCTGGAAAACGTCGCATAACGAAGCCAAAATATTTTGTTATTTTGACCTTGGATTTTTTCAGTTTTGACGAGATATAATTCCTGTACCAGATTCAGCAGCGAAAGTTTGCCTTAGAAGTTTTCTTCTTAAATTCAGCTGGCGAAAAAAAAGCAGATTTTGGTCATTTTGAAATAAATTTTTGAATGTTAGAGTTTTCGATGCTCATTTTGATTCGAACTAACTTTGAACTGCATAACGAAAAAGAGCGTACGTAAAGTGCTCAAAAACATTTTCACTTTTGCTTCGTTGTCTGTAGAGTTGTTTAAAATACTCGAAAGTTTGTAAATCGAAATAACTTAGAAAATTGGTCCGTTTCTATGTGTTGAGTATTCTTCGTTTAATTTTTCTCCTTAACTTTCTCTAGATATCGGTCTGACCAAGTTTTATAGAGAATTTGACGGCGCATCTTGTGGAAAAACAATCAGTTCTAAGGACACACGCATTTTCCCTAGACCACCCGATAATCACAGCTTCATTCTTGAACAGCTTTGTTCAAAGAAGGAAAATTTTTGAAGTTATATATAAGCAAGAGCGTGAAAGAAAACGATGATTCAAGAATTATCAAGATCTTGGTACAAAAACTCAAGAAACTTCAGGGTGTTCAAGATCGTGGATTTTTGAATTTATTCCGTTTCTTACTAAGATCTTGAGCGAAGATCTTACTGAAAATACTCAAGAAGTCAAGATCTTGGTTACAAAAAGTTTCACTAGAAGGCATTCGGCAACATTTCAAACGCTTTTTTATACAAGCGCTTAGAATTTTTTCAATCTAAAGTTCATAGGTTTTCCTCACTGTTTATAAACAGTGAGTAAAATTTGGCTTAAAAAGAAATCTTCTCAAATATATTCAAGTCGGTTTGTTTTTTTACACAGACTGGTGGATTTGGGTGAGGAAAATGTTCGAACGTTAAAATCCCCTGCAGAAATTGCGGCTGAAAATTTGGGAAGCAAAAAAGAGCCGGTGGAAGCATCAAAAAAAATTATCACAGAAATGGCAGAAGATGCTGGTGTTACACAATCATTGGTAAGGTTATATTCTATTCGACGATATTCTTTAACGATTTTTTAACTTTATTTTAATTTAGGGTTCCGAGGAAATGGGAGCAAATACGGGACCTAGAAACAAATTCGAATATGAACATCCTGTAGACAGAAAATGTAAGAAATTATATATAAAATTCAAAATCTGTATTGATATAATTAATTATTTTTAATTATTATAGATGCCGAAGCAAATATTCGAGGTATGATTTTTTTTAAAGATTTTTTTTTTTGTGGAATCTTCAATAATTTAAATGAGAAAGAGACAATCATCATAGAGAAACGCTTAGAATTGATTAACACTTGTTTTGTCTTTTAGAGAGTATAAAAGATAATATAAGACAGGTAGAAAATAATAAAATTGATGAAAAATCTTCTCTTCTTCGTATCATTAATAACGATAAATATGATACAATTTCATCAACGAGTCATACATCTCAATCTCAGCCAGAAAACAAACGATTAATGAGTGAAAAACTCTTAAAATTTTATCGACAACAAATACATTGTGCGTGTACTTTAGCAACAGTTGAAATAGTTTAGTGCATGGGTTGTTATGATCATAATTAGTTTGTTGTACACTATAAATTATGCATGTTTATGAGTGTTTTCATAGCCAGCAAGAAAAAGGTAGCTCTGAATATGACTTTTCTATATTATATCCTTATAATTTGTTGTGTGTCAATTCTAACAGATAATTAAATAAAGCATGTTTTATATATAATAATTATTATTTTCTTCTTGAGCATGAATGCAAGATATACAGATTTTGAGAGTGAATTGATAATATAAAAATAAACATGTAAATAAACTCGTTCATTGATAATAAATATTGTTTTTCTACTAAAACTATTATAATCGCAGAGGAACTTAGCCACAGAATTCTTTTGCCGTAGAAACGGATAGGTATGTACCAGTGCCAGTATAGTATAGTCCAAATGTTTTATAACCAAAAGGATTAGTCAACACAAATGATTAGGTACCTAGATGAAGTGATTGATATAGTTTAATGTAAGTTTTTGTAGATTAACATTTTGCTAAGGTCGTATACATGATACGAAGCGTTGAACGGCATCTAATATTGCATAATTTTTGAATTTTACACAATAATACTTTACTTCGAGCTCTTAGATAATTCTACATACGTATTTGTTTAGATTTGTTTACTTCAATCTCCGAGAGCTTAATCTACTCCATATATGATGCTTTTATCGTTTATCTCCGGCTACGCTTTGTATTGTGTAATAACGTGATTCTCTGTAGGATCTTGGAAAAATGTTAAGCTACTGAAAACTCGCATTAAACTGTATCACTTCAGCTACTCTCTAAAAATATGGTACATTACTGAACTTTTTTTTGCTGGAAAAATAAAAAGGTATATAGATGGTGACAAATGTTTAAACCTTTTACTACAAAACCTTGTTGATAGTTTTCTAGTGAGTAAGGAACCTTAAAAGGCTCCGTACGTGAAAGGAGGTTTTTTACGGAACAGAGTTGTAATCGGACCGGTGCCGGTTCGCTACGGTGTAAAAGTCACACCGGCCGATCTCCACCGGTCTCTTGCCGGTCTAGAAAAATTTTTAAACTGACCGTTGATTAACCGGTTTTGAAATCCTTAGAATTTTTCTCTTCTTCACTAAAAAGAAGTTCGTTTTTTCACCCTCCCGTCCATCTAGAAAATCTTTGAAAATCGGCCGGCTTTCTGCCGTTTTTTACCGGTCGAAAAAAACCGCCCGTTCTTTTGCCGTTTTCTAACCAGTTTAAACTGATTTATGGATCGGCCGGTGGCCGGTCTCTTTATTTTAAATCAGTTACAACTCTGCTTCGGAACCATGCATGATACAAACTCTGAGATCATTCCGTAAGAAATCTCAAGCGTTTTGTATGAAACCTTTCCAAGCGTAACAAACTCAAAATGGCTTCATACAAAACGCTTGAGGTTTTTTACGGAATGATCTCAGAGTTTGTGCGATATCATGCATGATTCCGTAGTTCAGTAAAAAACCTTCTTTCAGGTACGGAGCCTCTTTAGGGTTCCTTGCTCACTACGAAACCATCAAAGAGGTTTTATAGCAAAAAGGTTTAAACATTTGTCACCATCTATATACCTTTTTAATTTGCTAGCAGAAAAAGGTTCGGTAATGTAACTTGTTTTTAGAGAGTAGGTGCCAAAGCATTTGTGCCGCAAAGCATATGGGTATCGAATTTTTCGGATACCTATTGAAAACTGGCCAGTAAACTATCGTTTTTATGTTAAGAATACAATATTCCTAGTTCTGTTGTGTTAGTGATGTTTGTGTCCACTCCATCAGTACCTTTCCCTTTAGGCAAAGCATTTGTGTCTTCGTCAAAAACGTTTTTGCCACTGTATTACTAAATGCTAATTTTGCCTTATATTAGAAAGATCTAAAAGCTTATTTAAATTTACTTTCGATATCTATTTAAAAGGTATCCCTGGCCCCTCTTTTTTCACCTTGTCAAAAACAGTCAGTTTTTTTTCACTTATTTTCGGCATTTCTGATATTTCTTGAGAAGGAAAGCATAGTTTTCGAAAAAAATTTTGAATCTGAGATAGGATCTGAAGTATCTGTGTTGCAAAGCTAAGTTCACATGTTCAAATCTTTATTCGTTCAAAATTGATTTTGTGTTCTTTGATAGTTTTAGTTTAGAATATTATAATAAAATATTTTTCCGCTTGTATTCTGAGAATAAAGTTTATACCAAAACTGGAGTTTTATAGAAAACTCATAGAAGTTCATGTCACAAAATTCTGAGCAAAAATACATCAATTTCCTTTTTTACTCTTCTATCTCTAGTATAAATTTGAGCTCGATTGGACATGTGCTTCACACAAGGGGGAAAGCACGGAATCCTGGAATCCCACGGAATCTCACGGAATCCAATGGAATCCAACGGAATCTCATAGAATCTCACAGAATCCAATGGAATCCTGGAATCCAAAAGAA